GTGAGGCCAGTATGGCCTACTTAATGAAACCCTGTCCTTTAAAATAAGTAAATAATAAGTATATTCACTTATTCAAGGAATTGTTTGTTTGAGATGGGGTTTCTCTGCATAACAGCTCTGGCTGTCCTAGAACTCACTCTGTAGATCAGGCTGGCCTTGAACTCACCAAGATCTACCTGCCTTTGCCTCCTGAGTGCTTAGAATAAATGTGTGCATCACCACCACCCAGCAGACATGGAATTTTTTAACATCCGTTAAGAAGAATAAATTAGCAAGTGCTTTAAGAACTCTCCAGGATGTGGTAAGTGAATAAATGGAGGCTTGGGTTTCCCATAGTGGTTAGATTCTGGGCTTTGAGTAAAAGGAGGTTTTACAGCTATAGATGTAATGCACTGCCCTTGATGCAAGGAACAGAAACACAAGTGGTTATAACTACATAAAATACATACTCTAATAAGTGTTGGAGTACCCTGCACTGTACCATGTCTATACAGCTCTCTGAGCTCAGTGCCAAATGGAGGATTCCCTTTATTGCCAAGCTCCCTCCCTATCTGGATAATATCTCTAGGCCCTGAGACCTGACCCTATCTGGAAGTTGTCACTAAGCCTGGATGCCTGACCTATCTCAACTGTGACCTTTGACACAGATCCCTGAGGATGCTCTCCCCCTGCTTCCTATATGATAATTAGTATTGTGCTCAAAACACAAATTAGCTGTATCCATCCTATATATCTTCCCTCACTCTGAAGTAAAGCTGAGCTGTAACACTGAGATTATCTCCTGCAGGTCATCTGAACCCTTCTCAATCGCTTCTGCTCCCCCTCCCAGAGTCCCCAAGGAAGAAGGAGACCCACAATAAGGAAAGAAAATATACAAGAATCCCTGCACCTGGGCCAGCTCCTGCAGTATGACCCTGACCTAAGTCCCAGAAGCCCACATAAAGACAGAGAAGAATCAGCTCCACAAAGTGAGCCTCTGACCTCCACACTTCGACAATGGCCCATGAGTGCACAGAAACACACACAAAAACACACTCACAAAGAAACACACACACACACACACACACACACACGATCTCTCTTTTTCTTCCAAAAGTATCTCTGAAAAGAGCACTAATGAGAAGGACTTGAGAAAGGATACAACTCAATTAATTAACTCACAACCCAATACATAATAATTTAATAAGAATAGTAACTAATGCAATGATACATAGTCGTCATGTTCTAACCACACTACATAAACTAATTCAATATTCTCCTTTAGGCATAAATGTTCACAGTTCACATATGTCTTACTTCACTACAGCAGCAACTCCTTTTATCATTTTAATTGCTCCTCTCTGTCTCTGTCTCTCCCTCCCCCCTCTCTCTCTCTGGGGGGTAGGTATAAGTGCATGACACCTGTGGAAATCCTAGGACAACTTTTGGGAGTTAGTTATCTCCTTCTACTGTATGTCTGAGAGATGGAACTCAGGTACACAACTTAGTTAGCAGTGGATATCTTTACTCACCAGCTTTCAGCTTCTCTTGAGAGAATAAACATAACTGAAGCATTTTTATATCCTGCTAGTACAAAATTTATCACATTATGATGCTTTCAAGACTATATGCCCTGGGCTGGAGAGATGGTTCAGCAGTTAAGAGCACTGGCTGCTCTTGCAGAGGACTCAAATTCAATTCCTAGTAACCACATGGTGGCTCACGACCAAATGAAACTACAGTGGGAAAGAAGGGAAAAGCACATTTTAATATGAACCTTGGACTAGAGAGAGAGAGAGAGAGAGAGAGAGAGAGTTATGTCTGTCCTCACCCCATTCCTGGCTAGGCCAGCTTTGCTGACTCAACAGCCATGGACATATCAGCCTCTATCATGGGAGATAAAACTTTTTAAACACTAAATAGACAGGTTGATCAGAACATATAGGTATTAAAAGCTACCATTTCCGAATTAAAACAACAGTTAGATTCCCTTGCAGAAATGGTTGTAGAAAACTCAGAGAGACTTAGACTTCTCATGAGATAAGGGGGGACTATATATAGCTTTGAGGAAAACTTGTTGTTTCTATTATAATTGATCAGGAGTAACTAAAAAAAAAAAAAAAAAAAATCTTGCCATTGTTGGGAGAAAAACTCAGAAAGGACAGAGACAAAGACATGCATGAATCAGATCATTGGTAGCACCCTCTATCTCCTGGTCCCCTTCAGCACAGGGCCAATTCTTTATCAATCCAGTAAAAGGAATTGTCCTTAGGGCCAACTACACCTCTTCAGAGCAGGATGAGTCCACAATTTGACTCATTCACTAAGATGAGTGAGGGATGTAACAGGGCCTGGGCCTTAGCACAACTGCCTCCATGATGGGAGTCCCATTCAGACCATATAACTCAGCATGTGGACAGCACCACCTGCCAAAATGAAAACAAAGACCTGATCTATCAAAGTCCACAGTTCTGGGAAAGTCTCAAATGCACTAACCTTGCTTTTTTGGCTTATGTAGTTCTGACTCTGGCTGTTTTTGTTAACTAAAGTATATCAACAACCCAGGATGTGTTTTTTGTGCTTAAAAGCTCACCTTGAAAGAGGCTCAGGGCTCCTGGGATCCCAAACACCCAGCGTAGTCACCAAATGACTAATAAAGACTTTATATTGACTTAACCCTGAGTATGAGTAGTCTCTTCTGGTGGTTACCCCACAATATTTCCCCAAAGACACCAGGAGATATACATGCAGGCAAAACACCCATACACATAAAATGAAATAATTTGGGGGGACAGGGTTAGAGACAGGGTTTCTCTGTGCAGCCCAGACTGTCCTGGAACTCACTCTATAAACTAGGCTGGCCTCATTTAAAGATCTTCCTTCCTCTGCCTACTGAAGTCATGGGGTTAAAGGCATGCACCATCATTGCCTGGCACATAAAATAATTCTTAAAAATAAAAAAAAAATGTGCTTCATAATTCAATATCAGACTTAAGGGAAACTAATCAATGTCAATATTCAGAACTAACTTAAAAGCCTACCAATCTCACTAGATTATCTTTCCATAATCAGTGTCCTATGGGATGAGCCAAGCCACAATCCACAAATAGTGGCTTTCAAATTGTACATGTGTACACACAGCCAACTGTGGTTGTGCCGGACATGCTGAGCAGTTCAAAATATTGAAGAAGCATTGATCAAATTTTCCATCTAGATTCCATTTAAAGGACTGTAATACCTAAGCACAGACTGATTTTTTTTTTTTTTAACTTAAGAGTCGGGTTGATACTCAGTAGTTTATATGTAAAGGGTCCCAAAGGGTTAAATGGGATTGTGTGTGTTAGATGCTTCACACAAGTCATGAGCAGCAGGTCAATAAAACCATCTTGTCAATAATGGGAGAGGGGGGTCTATAATCAAATAGACCTACTCATGGGAGTGGGGGGCTGCCCCCTTTGATGTGTTGTTAAAATATAAAATCAGTCTAAGGGTGGAACAGGGAAAAAAATGAAAGTAATTCTTGGATTGAAACCCTGCCTATTTGCTACAACACTGGCTAGTGCTGGGCTCTGTAAAGGAAATCAATTGTCTGAGAGCCCATCTCACTCATATTTTCTTGTGTATTTATTTCCCATTTTTAAATAAAATTTGCAAAAGAAATTGACAATGCCAAACCGTATTTACTGAAATTGTAAAATATTGATAGAAATTGTTTTCTAAATTGTCTTATGGATAACAAAACAGCAAAAATTCAGGTAAAACTAAGGGAGTCAGCACAAGGTTATACTCTCTTATTTATTTTTTAATTTAATTTTTTGGATTTTTGAGACAGGGTTTCTCTGTGTAACAACCCACGTTGTTCTGGAACTTGATTTATAGATCTGCCTGCCTCTGCCTCCCAAGTGCTGGGACTAAAGGTGTGCACCACCACCACCGAATACTTTTTATTTTCCTCCATTTTTTTTTTTTTTTTTTTTTGAAGTGTTCTCCAAAATTGACAAGTTGAAGTACCAAGCCCTAGTAGCTTACTTGGAAATCCATTCTTTAACGATAGAAATGAGTTAAGATGAAGTTGTGACACATGTGCCTGTCTCTGGTATGACTGTTGTCTTCATATGGAGGTAGAGACCCAGGGACTCCAGTGAACAGAGAAGGCAGTGTGAGTGCGTGCAGCCAAGAAGGCGGCCACCCGCACAAGGACAGGCGCAGAAACGACACGCCCATCCCCTGAATCTGGACTTTCAGCTCTACAAAGTATAAGGCATGATTAAGCCAGGGTGCAGTTTGCTTATATCGGCCATCAAGGAGTAATACTGCCTGCACTGGTATTTCATAAAAGTAAGCATTTTATGGCTTGCTTTTTGCTTTGGTTTGGTTTTATTGAGACAGAATTCCCTGTAGCCCATGCTGCCCAGTGGCTGTGTAGACACAGCTGGCCTTGAACTCCTGGTCTTCTGCTCCCACTTCCCAATTGCTGATATGACGGGTGTGTGTCACCACATCTAGCAAGGAAACATTTTCTTTTTAAGTCTTTATTTATTTATTTTTATATTTGCATTGGTGTTTTGCCTGCAGGTACATCTATGCGAGAGTGTCAGATCTTAGAGTTATAGTATTGAGTTGCATGTGGGTGCTGGGCTTTGAACTGGGTCCTCTGGAGTCAGTGTCCTCAACCTCTGAGCCATCTCTGCAGCCCAGGAGACATATTTTCTAAATGACATGTGTTCATCCATTGAGCTGGGTGTGGGAGTGCTCATGCCACACTGCATGTGTGGAGGTCAGAGGTCAGCTTTCCAGAGTTGGTCCTGAGGATGGAAATCTGGTTATCTTAGTTGTAACTTCCCTTATTCACTGAACCATCTTGCCAGTCCATAGGAAACAAAGAAAGAGGCAGGGTGATTTGAGGATAAACTACATAGAGAGTTCAGGGCTAGCCTGTGCTACATGGTGAGACTCCACCCAAAAACCCACATCAAAGAATGAACAAATGAATGAATGAATACAGTTACATTATAAACACATTTATGAACTTTGGGGAAATTGTTTATTTCAGTCTACGAAATTCAGACAAATCATTTCTATATTTCATTTTAAGCCAAAATCCACAAGACATTTCATATGTCTAGCATGGCTAGAGATCACAGTACACCAACAGGGAATGATTTTTAACAGATATCTACAAACAACATTAGTAGGAAGACACATATAACACAAACCACTTGGATCTAAGAGTCTGAGTTTACTCAAAAATTGAAAGAAACTAGGTTTATAACAATTTTCTCACTTACACAACATATTCAGGGCAGTGGGTAAGAGTCAATGGTACAGAGAGTACAGGGGATCCTGGGTTCAATCCTCAGCACAAAATAAAATAAAACACATCTGAGAATGGGTTCAAGGATGGAGGATCTGACCGTCCTGAGCAACTCATAAACACATTTTTAAGACGTGTACAAAAGTTGCACATTGGCAGCACAGACGACTGCCTTGCCTCTCTGTCACAGAGCAGCAACATTTCAGAGTTCATAGTTTCGGAACTTCCTCAGGAGATCTGAGGGAGCATCACCAGACCAGCGGAAACGAAGGTGGGCACAGTTCAAATCTGAGAGACCTTTAGGAGAAGCAAGAGAAATGCTTCAAATCTGAGGTAGGAGAAGAGTCAAACTACCGTAGTAAAACAACTTGGGGACGAGACTCCACTGCAACCAGTGGGAGTGAGCCGTGGCCTCCAATATGAATTATGATTTTTTTTTTTGAACACATGATCTTACTATGTAGCCTGACTGACCTGGGAACTCACTATGAAAACTAGGCTGGGGGTAGAAAGATGGCTCAGTGGTTAAAAGCACTAACTGCTCTTTCAGGGGACCAGGGCTCAATTCCCAGCACCTACGTGGCAGTTCACAACTGTCTATAACTCCAATTCCAGCGGATCTGACACATTCACAGCAATACACATAAAATAAATTTAAATAAATTATTAAAAAAAAAAAACTAGACTGGCCTGGAACTCACAAAGATCTGCCTGCCTCTAACTCTTGAGTACTGAGATTAAAGTCATGTACTACCATACACAACAAAGTATTCATATTATATAGAAACAGATTACCTCACCTTAACCATACTTTGGAATGCTTATGAACAAAAATTAAAATTTATACATAAGAGGACCTCATGTGCTTAATCCTCCCCCATGGTGGGAATTTTTAATAATCTTTTTACTAATATTTTGGGAATTTTTGTACAGTATATTTTGACCATATTCACCCTTCTACTTCTCTCCCTAGTTTCTCTTAGGAGAGCCAGAGCTGTTACACAGAGAAACCCTTCCTTGAGAAATCAAAAAATAAACTAGGCCAGGATGTGGTGGTGCTTTTATCCCAGAACTTGGGAAGCAGAGGCCAGCACATCTTTGAGCTCCAAGCCAGTTTAGTCTACATGGCTAATGATTTTTTAAAATGCCAAATGAATTCTTTTCTCTGTGTAACAGCTCTGGCTGTCCTGGAACTCGCTCTGTAGTCCAGGCTGGCCTTGAACTCACAGAGATCTGCCTACCTCTGCCTCCTGGGCTGTGATAAAATGCGTACACCCATACTGTCCAGTGCTAAACCAATTCTTAAGTTGGCATTGCTGTGCATGCTACAACAGGTTTAGCTGTAATACAACAATGCTTCCTGATTTCCAGTCTTCTCTTGTGAGAAGCTAGGTGATATAACTTACCTGGAGAGCCTGGGTTTTGTGGGGAGATGGCCTTCTCTGGGGATCCACATTCCTTTTGCCTCATTTTCTCTGTGCTTGAATCTGGCTCTCCTTTCTTGTTTTCTCTCTGCTCATTCCGTTCCTTGTTTTTAACTGTGCTGGTATAAGTCTGGTCTGTTCCTTCCAGCATCAAGTCTTTTTTACTTCTGACAGCCCAGTGCATTGACTAGATTAAATAAGAGTAGACACATAAATATCATTTGGGATTTGTTTCTCACATTTGGTTATTACTTGATGGGGGTACATGTGGGTTAGGGAAGAATACAGCTTTCAGGAGCCTATTCTCTACTTCCACCAAGGGCATTTTGGGGATCACATGCTGGAAGCATCTTTATACAGTGAGAAATCTCACCAGCCCTTGTCTTTTTTTTTTTTTTTTTCCTTCATATGTAGTCTTAGTTATGGTTTCTATTGCTGTGAAGAGACACCATGACCACAGCAACTCTTACAAAGGAAAAATATTTAATTAGGGTAGCTTATATCTTCAGAGGTTTAGTCCATTATCATCATGGTGCATCATGGTAGTGTGCAGGCAGACACGGTGCTGGACAAGTAGCCGAGTGTCCTATATCATTTTTACAGGCAACAGGAAATGGTCTGAGACACTGGGCATAGCTTGAGCACAGGAGACCTCAAAGCCCACCTCCACAGTGACACACTTCCTCTGACAAGGCCACACCTCCTAATAGTGCCACTCCCCTTGGGGACCATTTTCCTTAAAACCATCACAGTAGTCCAGGCTAGCCTCGAGACAACGGGCTTTTGCTTGTTCTAGATGTGTTGTTATGATGCTTTGTTGTAATGTACAGAACAGAGAAGGGAGAAAGCCCATCTTCTTCCTGAAAGGCTGGGGACACTTCAATGGAAAAGTGCTTGCTGAGCCCGTGAGAGACCTTGGGTTTAATCATCAACCACAAATATGGGGAATGAGGGCTGCGAAAAAGGAGAGAATAATAATTCAAGAATTAAAAAAAAAAGAGAGAGAGAGACTAGGCTTGATGTGCTCAAACACTCAAGAAGCAGAGGCAAAGGCAGGTGAGTCTCTAAGTACAAGGCCAGCCTGGTCTACACAGCTAGACCCTGGCCAGCCAGGGCTACAAAGTGAAATCTTGTCTCAAAACAAACAAACAAAAACCTAAACTCAGAAAGCTGAAATGTGAACTACAAAAGTCACAAGGTAGGGTCAGTGAAATGGATCACTGGGTAAAGGAGCTTGTCACCCAGCCTGACAACATACACACACACACACACACACACACACACACACACACACACACACCATACAATGCATGCACATGTACACATACACACACTAAGTGAATAAATAAATGTAAAAAAATTAATAAGAAAATAATAAAAGCTAGGGATAAAGCTCCATGACAGAGTCCCTGGCAACATGAATAAGGCCAAGGGTTCAATCCTCAGTAGTCAGGAAAAGTAAATGTCACAAGTCCACCAAGAAACCTATAAAGAGTGCCTTTCTCTCAAAAACAAAGTGTTATGTTCCACTCACAATTAACCTGTTTACCAGTTTTCTTAATGGATCTTTTTTTAATTTAGGAAGTAATTATCATATATTCTGGACATTGGTCAACACTAGCAAATATTATCTTTTAATCTACATGCCATTAAACAATGGAAAAAGAAAAATGAAACAATTGACTCCCATGAGCCATAGCTCAGCTGAATAGTAGCAAAGTTAGATCTTTTTTTTTTTTTCAAAATATTATTTAATGTATATGGGTATTTTCTCTGGATGTATGTCTGTGCATCACATGCATGTCTGGTATCCAAAGAGACCAGAAGAGGGGGCATCAGATCCCCTGGAATTGGAGTTACAGACAATTATAAATCAACATGTGGAATTCAACAGGGAATGGAACCTTGGAATTGAGTCAGTGGTCCTAACCACTGCACCATCTCTCCAGCCCCAAAATCAGTTATTTTTATTCTGGGTCACCATGAGTGAATTTTTAACTTGCCTGAGTGGTTGATCTCTGACTTGCTTGCTCTTGGATAACATCCAAGCAGGACAGCCTGTCTTTTGAACAGAAGGTGTTGATTTGCTCACTGTTTCCCATCTAGAGAAAGAGTACCCATCTGAGCATAGTAAGAAGCTTCCACAGGTAGCCTGTGGCCAATTGGACTTCCCACAAAGACACCTCATCCAGCCAGGAACTCAGAAACAACCAATGGCAATTAGGTCTTTGCAGGGTAACAGGATGGCCCAAATCCCTCCTAGAAAGAGCTGATTTATTAGTCGATTAAAAAAAAAAAAAAAAAAACCAAAACAAAACATAAGGGGGCTGGAGAGAGGCAGAGGAAAAGCACTGCTTCTCTTCCGGGTCCTGAGTTCAATCCCGCACCCATGGTGGATCACAACCATCTGTAATGAGATCTGGTGCCCTCTTCTGGCCAACAGCTGTACATACACATAGAACACTGTATACAAAATAAATCAATAAATAAATCTTTAAAAAAAATAAAATAATATAAAAATGAGATACACATCTGTTAGGATGGCTCAGTGGGTAAAGGCCCCTGTTGTCAAGCCTGACAACCTGAGTTTGATCTGTGGAACCATGTGGTGGATAGAGAAAACTGACTTTTCTGAAAATTGTTCTCTGGATCTCTACACAATGGCATTTGCATGTCTCTACAGAGAGAGAGAGAGAGAATATGTAAAAAGTACATATAAAACTCAAGTCCTCTGGAAGAGCAGCCAGTGTTCTTAACCTCTGAGCCATCTCTCCAGCCCCTTGTATCTCATTTTTAAACCAGCATCATGTTTAAATTTAAATTTACAACATATTTATTGGCTTAAGTAAATTCTTAAAATGTTTTTAAGATTTTTTTTATTATTTTAATTATGTACAGGAGTGTGCATCCATATGTGGATATGTGCACATGTGTGCAGCCTCTCAGAGCCCAGAGACATCAGATCCCCTGAAGCTAGAGTTACAGACCATTGACAGCTGCCACACATCAATGCTGGGAACAGAACCCTGGTCCTTTGCAACAGAAGCAAATGCTCTTGACCACTGAGCCATCTCTGCAGCCCCCACTCCTGATTTAGTGGATGTGTTTTTTGTTTTGTTTTGCTTTTTGCCTGCCGCCTGAGTGCAACACCACACCTGGCCCCACTGCTGATTACAGAACAGATATAGAGCTCATCATTTCATATCACTAATAAAAATAAACCTAAAGCCAAATTTCATACTACTTCAACTTTAGTGACAAGACAAATGATGTTGCCAGTAAGTTCTGAAATAGAACTATTGTAAAGGCTAAAACAGTGCATGGTTATGCTAAACCCAAAACCAAAATACTGTGTGTGAGTCAGAAAATTAATAGTAAATAAAAAGACAATGGCAATGCTGGGCAATGGTGGCGCAAACCTTTAATACCAGCACTTGGGAAGCAGAGGCAGGCGGATCTCTGTGAGTTCGAGGCCAGCCTGCTCTACAGAGTGAGTTCCCAGGACTGGCTCCAAAACAATACAGAGAAACCCTGTCTCAAAAAACAAAAAAAAACAAAAAACAAAAATAAAAACAACAACAAAAGACAATGCCAATATAGATAAAAGAGGAAAGGGGAAACTTGGAGAGGAATTGTAGAAAAATCTGTAGCTAACCTGGTATTAGCTATTAAAAATTAAGTGGCAGTTGAGATCACAGAAAAGTAAAGAGCTATAAACCAGAAGGCATTGGACAAGCAGGGTAGGTGATTCAGCAGCAGTAACAGTATCCCACATTTAGGAGGCTGGAGATAAAATTGTGTCCACTTTGTAGAACAATGTTTACTAAGCAAGAATTTTGGAAAGGCACAATGAAAAGCAAAGGTTTGGTGGGGAAAGCACTTCCTTGAGGACTGGAGTTCAAATCCCCAACACCATCATAAATGTTGGGGAGGGATGATGGCCTCTCTGTAATCCTCATACTCAGCTACAGATAAAGGAAATCCCCCAAGGAAACTGGCTACCTAGACTACACAAAGAGGCAATCTCTAGGTTCAAGTTAGAGATCTTGACACAATATATAAGACAGAACTAATCAAGGGAGACACTCAATGTCAACACACGAGCTCACACACGAATACACATACACACACACAACACACACACATACAGACACCCATACACGGTGAACATACCTACCCATATACACCATACTCACATTTGTTGTTGTTTTGTTTTGTTTTCTGAGACAGAGTTTCTCTGTAGCTTTGGAGGCTGTCCTGGAACTAGCTCTTGTAGACCAGACTGGTCTTGAATTCATAGAGATCCGCCTGCCTCTGCCTCCTGAGTGCTAGGATTAAATTGAGGTATCACCAATGCCCAGCACACTACTATATTTTTAAGATGTATTTTTACTTACATATATGTGTCTGTGAAGAATGGCACATGTTTGGGTGCCCTCAAAAGCCAGAAGAGGGCACCAGACATTCTGAACTAGAGTTACAGGCAGTTATGAGCCACCCAGCATGGGTTCTAGGAACCAAACTTTGGTTCTCAGAAATAGCAGCAAGTGCCCGGTGCCCACAGAGGGCAGAAGAAGGCACCAGAGCCCCTGGAAATGGAGTTACACACAGCTGTGAGCCACCACATGAGTACTGCAAATCAAACTTGGGTCCTTTGGTAGAGCAGCAGGTGCTCTTAACCACTGCACCCCCATATATAAGTTTTTAATGGCCATACAGAGATAGAGAGATGGCTTGGTGGTTGGGAGCATCCACTGCTCTTCCACAGGACCTGGGTTCAATTCCCAACAGCCACAGGGCGACTTATAACTGTCTTTAACTCCAGTTCTAAAGGATCCAACACCCTCACACGGACATACATGCAGGCAAAACACTAAAGCTCATAAAATAAAAATAAATAAATAAAAAGAAATAACACAATACTTCCTAACTGCAATAACTCTTTACCACCATATATGATAGGAATAATTGCATTCTGCTTTGTTATAGATGTCCAAGCCTTGTTAAGCAAACAAGCTCAAACAACAACAAAAAAGATAAAGGAATAGCTCTGAAGTAGAGTGTTTCCTGCTCTTGCAGAGGCAGAAGACCAACTTTGGTTCCCAGCATCCATGTAACTCCAGCCCCACACATCCAATGCTCTCTTCATGGGAACACACACATGGCATTATACACAGAAACAAAACCACAGACATATATACAAAGAGAATACATCTTAAGAAGTTTTTTTTTTCAAGATTCAAGGAAAAGATGTTAAATAGTTTCAAATTCTGTAATATGAACAATCTGATGAGCACAAATGTGAGAAATCTTTTTTTGTTGTTTTGAGGTTTTTGTTTGTTTTTGAGACAGGGTTTCTCTGTAGCTTTAGAGGTTGTCCTGGAACTTACTCTGTATAACAGGCTGGCCTCAAACTCACAGAGATCCACCTGCCTCTGCTTCCCTCAAGAGTGCTTGAATTAAGGCTTGGGACACCACAACCCAGCTATGAGAAATCTTTTTTTTTTTTAATTTATTTAACTGTTATTTTATGTGCATTGGTGTAAAGGTATTAGATTTCCTGGAACTGGAGTTACAGACAGTTGTGAGCTGGGTGCTGGGAATTGAACCCAGGTCCCCTGGCTGCTCTCAATCACTGAGCCATCTCTCCAGCCTGAGAAATCTTAGGTCTAAATGGTAACAGGGAGTGGAATAAACAGCTGAAGATACAAAGAATACAGCCATGGGCTCTTCAAACGCTGATTCTGGTCACTTCTCCTCAGAATTTCTCCTCAGTGGGTTTTGTAAACAATGACTAATGTCTTGGTCCTTTCCCTCCACTTATCCTTTAGGCTAAGCCATGAGTCTAACCCATGAGCAGCCTGGCCTCAAAAGTCCCAAGATCCCCAGAGGAAAACTCACAGTTTTCACTGAGTCGGCCAAAGCGTCCCATTGCTCAAATGGCATAGACATCTGGCTCCTTCGCCAATGGTCATAGCGGGCTCGGCTCTCTGCATTGGTCAGAATCTCCTTTGCCTTCTGCAAGTTCTGAAACGTCTCCACTGGAAAACAGGACAATATATGAACAATGCTGGAAGAGTAAACTCCAAAACCATCCACCAGATGTCACTAGAATCTTGACTTGGCCACACACTGAGACTTTGGGCCAGTCTCCCTAGTCGGCTTTAGTATCCTCATTTGTTTTTACTTATTATATATAGTATTTTGTCTGCATATATTTCTGCACACCAGAAGAAGGCACAAGATCTCACTATAGATGGTTGTGAACCACCACGTTGGTGCTGGGAATTGAACTCAGGACCTCTGGAAGAGCAGCCAATGCTCTTAACCTCTCGGCCATCTCTCCAGTCCTAGTGTCCTCATATGTAAAGTGTATCACAGAAAGACAATGAGGGATAGTGAGATGGCTTGGGAGTAAAGCCCCTGAGGCCCATGTTTGATCCCCGAGACACACATAATGGAAGGAGAAACATGACTCATGCAAGCAGTACTCTGAGTTCCACACATGCCCTGTGACATATGTGAGATCAACAATAAATAAATAAATGTCACTTAAAACAAATCTTGAATACAATGAGACCTTGTGTGTCAAGAGCTTGACATGAAGTTTGGCCCTTCCTTTTACTGGGCCCCAGGGATGTCCAGATGCTAATGACACAGATGGAAACAACTGACATTATTAGCAGAAAAGACAGAAATTAAAAAAATAAACAAACAAAAAAACCCCCAGAATTTTGTTCATAGGAAAAACCTTTCTGTTGCTGTCAGTCAGAGTGAATAGTGTCAGATAACCCTCTAAGGAAAGAAGCCAGGTGAATTTACATGAAGTTGAAACTGCCCAGATAGCTGCAGGACCCAGTGCCAAAGAAAGAATGGTAAGTGACAGAGCTATACAGTGGACACAGGTCCACAGAGCTATACAGTGGACAAAGGTCCACAGAGCTATACAGTGGACACAGGTCCACAGAGCTATACAGTGGACACAGGTCCACAGGGCTAGGACACAGGTCCACATGGCTATACAGTGGACACAAGTCCACAGGGGTATACAGTGGACACAGGTCCACAGGACTAGGACACAGGTCCACAGGGGTATACAGTGGACACAGGTCCACAGGACTAGGACACAGGTCCACAGGGGTATACAGTGGACACAGGTCCACAGGGCTAGGACACAGGTCAACAGGGCTAGGACACAGGTCAACAGGGCTATACAGTGGATAAAAGGCCACAGAGACCCACAGCACTATACAGAAAGAAAAGAATGAAGGATCCTGAACTCAACCCAAACATTTACATCCAGTTGACTTTTTGACACAAATGCCAAGACAATTCAGCAAGTAGAGCTATACAACTAGATTTACACATACAAGAGAATAAATTTGGGGGATGGAGTAGAATAAACTATGATCACACACACAAGAAATACCACCATTAAACTCACTGCTTTATATGCTAACTTTTTAAAAGGTGTAACACTGGGCATGTTGGCACACACCTCTAAATGCAGCATTGAGGAGACAGACACAGGAAGATCTCTGAGTTTGAGACCAGCCTAGTCTACATATAAGAGTTCCAGAACAGCCAGGGATACATAAAGAGGCCCCATTTCAAAAAGAAAAACAAAAAATAATGAGAATGAATGAATGAATTTGATGCCTACTAAATCATATATACACATATATATATGCATATGCATATACATATACATATACATATATATATATCTGACCCAAATGTAAGAGTTTTGTATATTAGAAACTTTTTCCAAGATTTATCTTATTGTTTATGTAACCACCCTTTGTGAGAAATATTTTTAAATGTTAAAAAAAATCCCCCCAGGACAAGATGACCAAATAACAGGTTTGTTTGTTTGTTTATGTAGGGTCTCACTATGCAGCCCTGGCTGGCCTGGAACTCACTATGTAAACCAGGCAGTCCTGAACTTAAGAGACCCACCTGCCTCTGCCTCCCAAGAGGTAGTATTAAAGGTGTGCACCACTACACCTGGCTCTTTTTTTTTTTTTTTTTTTTTTTTTCCTTTTGAGTGAGTAATTACCTCAGGTGTTTCCCTAGTAAAGTTGACTAATACAAGGGACTGTCTAGGTCAGGTTGGTTTGTGTGCATGTCTCTGCAGAACTGTCTCAACTGATGTGGAAGACACAGCCTGGGCGTGGGCAACATCACCCTCTGGTGGGGCCCAGACTGAATAAAGCAGAGAAAGCTAGCTGAGTACCACGCATACATGCATTCATTTCACTCTGGTTTTGTTTTTTTAAGATTTATTTATTATTTATGCATATATGCATGTATTCTGCACACCAGAACATTGTATAAGTAATATTTGTTGAAAAGGTCCAAGGTCTTGAACAACTCTGTTCTTGATGTGACTAATGGCTTCAAGTGCCTGCCTTGACTTCTCCAAAACAATAAACTGTGACCTGGAATTGTAAGCTGAAACGAACACTTTCTCCTCTAACTTGCTTTTTGCCAGGGCATTTTATCACAACATAAAAAAATGAAGCTCTTACATGAGACTGTAAGAGATGGAGATAAAATTAAAAAAAAAAAAAAAAAAAAAAAAAAAGGGGCACACAGCAGGAAAGGGTACATATCTAAATGCCCTGCAAAGACAACTGGTGACGATTGCTTTACACATAGTAAGGGTGTATCAGTTTCCAGTCCTGTTGATTTGATAAAAATGTCTGACTCACAATTCCAGGGTAACGTCCATCATGGCAAGAGTCTTGGAACTAGAACTTGAGGCAGCTGGTCACATGACTCACAGGAAGCAGTGCAGCATGAAGGCCTCCTTTTCATGAAATCCAGGACCCCAGTTCAGGAACATTGCCACTCTTCCTCAGTCTCACTCTTCTCACCTCAATTAACCTAATCAAGATGCCCACCCTATCCTCCTACTCCCCACCCCCTGGGCTGGGGTGCCAAACACCTTTAATCCCAGCACTCCTGAGGCAGGGGCAGTTGGATGTCTGTGAGTTTGAGGCCAGCCTGATTTACAGAGCGAGTTTCAGAACAGGCTCCAAAGCTACACAGAGAAACCCTGTGATGAAAAACCAAAAAGAGAGAGGGGGGGAGCGAGGGAGGGAGGGAGGGAGGAAAAGGAAAGGAAAGGAAAACTAAAAAGGAAGAAAGAAAAGAAAAAAAAAAAAAAAAACAGCCATTAGTAAATTCTTACCAGCTTTGGAGTTATCCGGATGCTTGTCAGGGTGACATTCCAGAGCTCTGACCTTAAATTCTGCCAAGATTTGCTCAACCTAAAATAAAAATCAATATTTCAAATAACAAGGATAAACAGAGGAAACTGGTTCTAAGCCTTCCTAATGATGCAACTCTTTAATATAGCTCCTTGTGTTGTGCTGACACCAACCATAAAATTATTTCATTGCAACTTCATAACTGTCCTTTTGTTACTGTTATGAATCATAATGTAAATATCTGATATGTGATCCAAGGGGCTGAAACCCACGGGGTGAGAACCTCTGGCTTCATTATGTAAAAGGATGAAGAAGACTTGAGTTCAATGCCTAGCACCCATGTAAAAATCAGGCCTGGGTATCCACCCCAGTAACCCAAGTGGAGGGGTGCAGACAGGAGAATCTGGGGTTCACTAGTCAGCTAGTCAGCTGAGTTTGGTGATCTGAGACTGTCCCAAAAAAATAAGGTGGAAAGCAATGGAGGAAGATGCCACCATCAACTTCTGGCCTTTATACACACACATGTACAATTGTATATTATAAGAGAATCAAATTTCAACTGTCTAGTAGCTGTAGCATGAATAATAAAAACCCAGAGACAGATATTGGGGTTCAATCGGAAGATCAGAGATGCAAAGCAGCCAGCCACTAGAGAGTTCTCACCTCTACCAGTGCTCAGACCAAGGGGGTGATTCACCTAACCTCAGATTGCATCTTCAGACTACACTGTTCTCCACCAAGCCTCAGAATCCTAGCCTGCCATGCTCTCCTCAACGTGGCTGGAGACTAAGTCCTAAGACAGACTTTGCCTCTTCCAGTGCTGGGATTAAAGGTGTGAGCTCTGTTACTCTTTTAGACTGATTCACTCTTGTGTACCCTGGGGTAGCCTTGAACGCACACGGAGCTCCATCTGCCTCTGTCTCCTGAGTCCTGGGATTAAAGGTGTGTGACACCACTGCCCATCTTCTATAGTTAACTAATGTGCTGGCTTTGCTTTCTGATCTTCAGACAATCTTTATTAAGTCATAAATAATATATCACCACGGTAGCCATGCCTACAGTTCTAGCACCCTGAGGCAGAGAGCAGGGGAACCAGATGTTCAGTCTTGCCTAAAAAGGAGTTTGGGCCAAAGGTGTAATAGTAAACTTTGTGTGTGTATGCAACAAGGTCACCCTATGTATCCCTAGCTGACCTGGAATTCACTATGTAGACCAAGCAGGCTTCAGACTCAGAGATCCACCTGCCTCTACTTCCTGAGTGCTGGGATTAAGGGTGGGTGTGTGTCACCATGCCCAGCCACTAAACATTTCTTAAGATGTATTTTTTTACATGTATGACTGTTTTGCCTACATATGTCTGTGTGCAATGTGTGTACCTGATACACACAGAGATCAGAAGAAGGTACTAGATTCCCAGAAACTGGAGTTACAGATGGTGAAACACAGTGTGTGTGCTGGGCACCAAACTCTCACCCTCTACAAGAGTAGCAAGTGCTCTTAACCAGAGCCAACTCTCCTAGTCTCCCAGTAAACATTCTTTAAATTAACAGTTTATATTTTTAATAAGATTTCTATCAGTATATAAAAAATCAAAGGTCCTCTTATCTCCCACCCCCTTCAAAATACATTTTACTTATATTTATATCTATATTCTGGAAATTTTAAATAATGCAAATGGATAAAATTATACCTATCTGGCAAAGATGGCTGGGGTTTTATTGTTACTGCTGTTCTGGGTTGATGCTTTTTTTTTTTTATATCACATTAGAAAGCATCCTGGGGAGGGGGGGCTAGAAAGATAGCTCAGTGGTTAAGAGCATTGGCTGCTCTTCTAAAGGATCTGGGTTCAGTTCCCACCCACATAGCAGCTCACAACTATCTGTAACTACAATTCCAGGGAACCCAACACCCTCACACAGGCATACATGCAGGCAAAACACCAATGCACATAAAATAAAAATGAAAATAATTTAAAACAACAAAGACACTGGGCAGTGGTGGCGCTAAACTTTAACCCCAGCACCCAGGTGGCAGAGGCAGGTGGATCTCTGTGAATTCGAGACCAGGCTGGGCTACATAGTGAGTTCCAAGACAACTAGGCCTATGTAGAGAGACCTTGCTTTATAGAGAGAAGAAAAGGAAGGAAGGAAGGAAGGAAGGAAGGAAGGAAGGAAGGAAGGAAGGAAGGAAGAAAGACAGCATCTAGAGCCAATGAGCTCAGTGTGTAAAGACACTTGCCACCAAGCACTATGACCTGAGTTCAAGAACCATTTGGTGGAAGAACTCCCACAACTTGCCCTCTGACTTCTGCATGATGGAACATACATTCGTGTGTACATACATATATACAAACACACATGTAAAAAGGCTTTTTAAACATTATGGTTTAAACATTATGGTGCCATCCTACAGAAGCAAATTAACAGTGCTTATGTGTCATTGCTTCCTCCTCCTTTATATTGTTTTTAGCTCTGCCAATTTAATTTAAGAAAATAGCTTATATCTGTCTTTTCATTACTTCAGAGTTAAACACAAACCCTCTGTGGGGCTGACCCTGAGTAAACCAGTAAAGGAGACTGGTTTGTTTCCAGTGTGTTCTATCTCTCTCCTGCTGTCCCCATCCCAGATGTCCACTGTCAAATGCAGTCTGTGGACAAACAAAGCCCTTTATGCCAATATCTATCCATCTGTCTGCACAGCTGCCTATCCTTCTGGCAGTAAACAAAAACCATGTTTAACTTCACTCACAGTCAAATAAACCAAGACATCAAGAGGGTGAAGGAACATGACCAGTGCTCAAAGACTCGAGCATCAATGTCCTCCTGAACCTTAAGTAAATGCACATTTCTGAAAGTGAACTAAAAGCACATATAGATATATCATATATGCAATGAATATTTTATGCATATTTTACATATATATACATATATATGTATTCCTATTCTTTGATCCAACAATTCTAGTTCTAAAACTTTGTTTAGAGAGAAAATCTGAAATGGGACAAGAATATAGCCCTATGTGTGGCTCATGGAAAGAAACAGACCATCAGAGCCACGATGAGGCCAAAAGTTGAGACTTTCTCTAGAACAAAACCGCAGTGCTGTCCCCAAGAGAAAGGGTACAGCACCGTGGAAAAGGAGTTTGGGGTTTCAGAGTGATTTTGTTGGACAGGAATGTGGCAGGGAGCATTAAGGAAAAGGAGACTGTCACAGGCAAAAAGGGACTACAGTAGGCAAAATTGTTTTGGGGGGATAGCAGGAGGCTGTACCTGGATCATCCATCTTGGTGTCTTAAGTGACTCCACATTGGGCCAAAGGTTAGTGGGAAAATTTTTAAATAAAAACGTATGTACCTATAATACGTTATTTCTTTAAACTAGGTGTAACTATTTGCCTTGTGGCTGGGCATGGTGGCATGTGCTTTAATCCCATCACCTGAAAGGAAGAGGCAAGCTGATGTCTGTGAATTCAAGACCAGCCTGGCCACCCAGGCCTACATGGAGAGAGTCTGTCTAAAACTACATAAACAATAATATGTATTTTAAAATGTAATGCTGGCTATAGTATTAAATATGTTTACATAATTCCAAGTACAGAGTATCCCAATGCAATCAAACAGAACCCAAACATACATATATATACATGCATTCACATATGTACATAAAACAAAAATAAGTCTTTAAAAGAAGAACATTTGTTTCAACTATAAAAGAAAAATCTCCTGTCAGATATTACATATAATTTGATCTAAGTAATTTGAAGTTATACAGTACTTGGACTCCTCATGTCATACTAATATCTATTATATAGAACACATACACATTTTAATATTGTCTATAATAACGTCTTCCATAAGAGCTATCAGAACCACAATGTACTTTCAGCAAAGCATCTTGTAATCATAAACGAATGTGTAACCGGTAACAATCCTACTGCGTTCTTCAGAACTCACTTAGGCACAGGCAGACACTCTGATGGTAAGAAATGTTATTTCGCTGAACGAGGAGACTACAAGTAGATAGCCTCTCCTGCTGAGTTCTAAGTCACAGCCTTTATTGTTTCTCTAAAGCTGTAGTTCTTAACCTCCCTAATGCTGCGATCCTTTGATGGAGTTCTTCATGTTGTAGTGACCCCTAACCATAAAATGATTTAGTTGCTGCTTCAGAACTGCAATTTAGCTACTGTTAGGAACCGTAATGTAAATGTCTTATATGCATCCCTAAAAGGGTCGCGACCCATAGGTTGAGAACCGCCGTCCTACACTAAATAAAGCTGTCTTAATATGGTCTTTTTCCCATCTAATACTTTGAATTTCATAGTACTGTCCTCAAATTAGCCAGCAAGCATTTAAATCCTTCATCGTCTCTACACTAAAACTCCTTTAAAATGGTACAAAGCTGGAGTTCCAGGAGATGGGACTAAAATCTCAAACCGACCTGGGGAGAATGCGCAATCCTGCTTACCGAGGAGAGCTCATCGCATCCCAGTAGGGCGTAGTAGTCCTCCGTGCCCTCTGACCTATAGTTCAGTATCGTATCCATTTACAGGGGATGACTAGTCCTCGTCAGAGCCACAGACAGGGTGAGCTTCAGGGTAATCGCAAAGCTCTTCACTTTTCAGCAGCACGTTCCAAACCAGCCAGCTCGGACAGCTGACGTCAACCCAGCCCTTTGCAAGCACGGTTTCTCATTGGCTGTTTGCCCAGGAGAGCACCTGCCTTGCAGGGCTGCTGGGATCTGTAGTTTGGGATTTCTGTTGTTTATGTTATGTTGCTTTGCTCTTTATTGAAAAATATTTTTCTCATACAATATATTCTGATTACGGCTTCCCCTCTCCCAACTCTTCCCAGATCCTCCCAGCCTCCCCACCCACCCAACTCCATGCCCATTTTGTTCTTTCTCTCTTTAGAAAACTAACAAGCAAATGAACAAAAAATAATAATAAAAGCCCCATGTGGCTGGAACCTTCACAAGCCCTCTGCATGCTGCCACGGTCTCTGAAAGATCATATGTACATCAGCAAATCTGCATTTTGACAAGGTGATTTTTCCCTGTTAGTGTGTTTTTAACAAATTTTCCACTTTATCATTGCTCCATTATAAGGATAGTTAATAATTTTCTAATTTTTTAAGAGACAGAAGATAATGTAAACTAAGTGTTTAAGATTTGCTCAATAGGAATAGTGGGTGCTTTTCCAAGTGTTTAAAACAGCTTTGTAATTTTTGGCAGTTGTAGATATAGTTCATTGGGCAGTGCTTGACAGCTACTAGCCAGGCTGGAGGAGAGAGGGGAGAAAGGGAGTAAGTGAAGGGAATTAAGAAGATCATATATCTTAGGGGTTTTGTTTTCTTTTGTTTTGTTGTTGGTTTGGTTTTGGGGTTTGTTTGTTTGTTGTGGGGTTGTTTTGGGGGTTTGTTTTGGGTTTGGGTTTTTTTTTTTTTTTTTTTTTTTTTTTTTTTGAGAGGGTGATTTTTAGAGACAGGGTTGCCGTCTTTGAACTCACTCTGTACACTCACAGAGAGCCACCTGCCTTTGCCTCCCAAGTTCTGGAATTAAAGGCATGCATGTGCCACTACATGATCAGAGATTATACATTTTGAAAACAGTGGCTGGAGACATCTAACAGATAAGAACACTTATTGTACTTCCGGAAAGCCCGAGTTCAGTTTCCAGTGCCCAGCACCATGTTAACCCTAGATCCCAGGAAATCAGCACCTCTGACTTCCGAAGACACCTGTGCTCACGTGCAGACATGCATACCTACACATAATTAAAAGTAATAAAAATGAAACAGAGTAAGCATTAAAGTATAATGGTTCACACCTGGAATCCTATCTCAGCACATCAGATGATCAGGATATGAGGGGTTCAAAGATCAGCCTTGCCTACATAACCAGTCTAAGGTTTGAGAACAGCCTGGGATGTGGGTATGATGGTACATGACTTTAAGCCCAGCATTCAGAGGCAAAGGCAGGAAGATCTCTTGAGTTTAAGGCTAGCCTGGTCTACAGATTGGGTTCCAGGGCAGATAGGACTACACAAAGAAACCCTATCTTGAAAAAAAAACAAAACAAAACAAAATTTAAGGTGAATCTATATTATGGACACAGTTCTGGGACGAATGGCAGAGCTGAACCTCTGAACAAGGTGGCTTTAGACGCAAAGCAAGCTGGGCTCATGCAAGATCATGGCTGATTCTGGGAAGGACACTTACAAATCCCAGACCTACATAATGTGGACGCCAGTTAAAGATGGATGGTCCTGTTAAAACATTCCTAATTCAGAGAAAGATGATGACTGCTACAGGTCAGACTGATAATGACCATCACAAGCCCCAACCCCAATTATTCCAGGCCTGTGACACTGGAACACTGCCTAACAGCCTTGTAAAGACTCACAATCCCTGAAAACAGCTCCTAGAATGCCTGTTTGTAAAAGGCTTCTTCTACTGTTCTGCCTGTACCACGCTGTCTCTAACAAACTACTTCTGCTTTGTGTCTTTGAGAAATTCATGAACAACCCATGTGACACTGGCCTATCAACACCATGCCCTGCATAGTACGTATGAAATGACCGCAGCACTGTCTATCATGGCAGGAAAGCCAAAGCAGCTTGAATTCACATTGAATTCACAATCAAGAAGAGACAGCAAAGCACACGTGGTACTTTTTAGCCTGTGTTCTCCATTTATCTGTGGGAGGAGGGACCTCCAAGGGAAATGTTGCCACCTGCAGCAAGTAGGCAAGTCAATTTTCCCACCTCAGTTTATGCAAGCCAGATAATTATAATCATGGGCACGCCTAGAGAGCAGTCTCCCAGGTGGTTCTGGATTCTGGAGTCTGTGATACACTGCCCGGCCATAGCTATCTATAACCTCAGTGATGGGGTGTCCAGAGAGGCAGATCCCTGGAGCCTGATGATTAGACAGGCTAACCAAAGTGGTCTGCTCTAAGTTCAACAACAGACTGCCTAGAAATAGGTGAAGCTGGGCAGCCCATGCTTTAACACTAGCAAAGGGGAGGCAGAAGACAAGAAGGTCTCTGAATTTGAAGCCAGCCTGGTCAAGATAAAGAGTACCAGGCCAGCTAGGGTCTTACAGTGAGACCCTATCTAGAAGAAGAAGAAAAAAATATCGGTAGAGGAAGACGCCCAAAACTCTCTGGCTTTCCTGAGCACACACCTGTGCACACATGAGCACATGAATTTCTAATTAAAAACAAAGGGGGAGGTTGCCTTCTAAGCAAGTGTGAAACCCTTTCTAAGCTGAATGACCTAAATGAAAAGGGGAAAGAGTTGGGCAAAACACGATCTCTTTTGCATAGCTACGTGCTCCTGCTCTTACTTTTTACTGGAGGTATAGGACGAACACACACCCCTCCCCCCCCCCTTTATTTTTCTGAGAAAGGGTTTCTCTGTAACTTTGGAGCCTGTTCCGGAACTCGCTGTGTAGATCAGGCTGGCCTCGAACTCACAGAGATCTGCCTGCCTCAGCCTCCTGAGTGCTGGGATTAAAGGCGTGTGCCACCACCGCCCAGGGATATAGATCCTTTTTTATTATATTTTATTATTTATTTGGGTGGGTACACAAATGTGGAGGTCAGAGAACCATCCGTGAAAGTCAGTTCTGTCGTTCCTCTTTGTGGCAAGCACCTTTACCAGCTGAACCATCTTGAGGAAAAATCTTTTAAATGCAAATAATAAAACCTAGCACTAAAGCTAGGTGTGGTGGCTCATACATGCAATCCCTGCTTTTGAGAAACTGAGGCAGGAGGAGTGCTGAGAGTTCCAGGCCGGCCTGAGGCTACAAAATCCTGCCTCAAAACAACAACACTTAACACAATGTCTCAAAGTAGAAGTAAAAAAACATAAAAGTTTTCAACAGAGATGAAAGCGCTTTGACCTGAAGATGTAAAAAGACTCTGACATCCAAAACCGGGTAGATCCCTCCCATCCAGAAGTGCAGCTCACTCTGGGACTACAACTCCCATAAGGCATAGCGCTACTGCACAAAAGGGACGTCAGGGAATGCGTCAGAACTTCCGGCCGAGAGTCGCCTCCGGTCTCCTACAAGAGCTTGGCAAAGTTTTTTTGCAAAAGTTATCAGCTCCTGCCTTACCCGTATGGTTCTTCCCAACCTGAGCGGCGTCCAAAGAGCAATCCCCGAGTTCCAGAAATCACCTGCAATCGTTTGTGTTTTGTTTCCAGGATCTGAACACCACCGAGCACTCGGGTGGAAGTTTGCTTTTGTTTGTTAATATTACATTTATTTGTTTGGCTGGTTGGTTTGAGTATGTCGTGGCATCTGCAGGTGGATCGCACTAGGTAGTCAATCTTGCCTGCAAGCGCCTTTACGGGCTGAGCCATGTGCAACTCTCTGTGATAGAAGTCTAGATTCAACTTGGTTCCCCACCTCTAGACCTGTTCCTCAGAATCTCCTGATCCATTCCAGCCTGAGATGATACAGTAGCGAGCAAACAGATTTAACTGTCCTGTTTCCACCCCTCCATCTGTAAAATGGGACAAAACCTTTTCCTTTCTAGCTGTCAAAGTTAGACAGTGTCCTGATCCAAGAGCAGATGTGTCAAAGGAAAGAAAAATCTTCAAAGCTGTTTCGTTGTTTCTTCGTTTGGCTTTAGTTGGTTTGAGACAACGTGTCTCATAATCTAGGCTGGCCTAGCGCTCACTGCAGAAGGATGACGTAGCGCTGGGTGATCTTGATCCTCCTGCCTCCACCTCCCCAGTACTGGGATTACAGGCTGGTGCCACTGTGAGCGGTTATGCTAGGGATGGAACCCGGGCGTTCCAGCATGCTAGGCATGTGCTACCAACATCGTTACAAACCCATCTCCAGAGGCTGCAGTAGCAAATTGTAACCACGGAGATGGTGAATGATGCTGATGACACTGTTAGGAATGGTGAGCAGGGTGTAAAAGGTGTTACTTGTGGAGGTAGGAGATAAACCAGTACCTAAACTGCTCTAGAACCTTGGGTGAGGAACGATGCGTTTGTGTGTGTGTGTGAGGGTGAAGACTGAACCCCTGGCCTCAGCCATCCCACAGTGCTCTGCGACTGAGATGTACACCAACCCCAGTTTTGTTTTTCTTGTTTTATTTTTATCATTCTATACGAATTAACGGTTCTGCCTGCAGAGGTCAAAAGGGGGAATGGGATCCCCCACTTAAGTTACAGTCGACTATGGGGGCTGGGAATTGAACTGAGTCCTCTGCAAGAGCAACAGCTCTTCATTCCTACCAATCCCAGTTTAATAATTTTCTTATTTTTTATTTTTAAGAGAGAGAGAAACAGACAGACATGCAGATAATTTAGGAGTCTGAAGAGGGTGTCAGATCCCAGGCAGCTCGTAAGCCATCTGTGATGCATGCTGGGTACTAGACTCGGGTCCTCTACAAGAACTCTCTTAGCTACTGAGCTCTTTCTCCAGCCCCACGTTTATTAAGTTTTAAAACATTAAACTGAAACAGGGAAGTGGTGGCACATGCCTTTAAACCCCAGCACTCGGGAGGCAGAAGCAGGCAGATCTCTGAGTTTCAGGCCAGCCTAGGTCTATAGAGTGAGGTCCAAG